AAAAGAGGACTTTGGACTACTGGGCAACAGTCCAGTTCTTCTTTTCCTTAGCCCAGGTAAGACGCCTCTGACGTTGTTTGTGGTTCAGGAGTGGCTTAACAAGAGGAATATGACAACTGTAGCCAAATTCCTTGACACGTCTGTGTGTTGTGGCTCTTGATGCCTTGGCCCCAGCCTCAGTCCATTCCTTGTGAAGTTCACTCAAATTCTTGAATCGATTTTGCTTGACAATCCTCATAAGGCTGCGGTTTTCTCGGTTGGTTGTGCATCTTTTTCTTCCACACTTTTTCCTTCCACTCAACTTTCATTTAACATGCTTGGATACAGCACTCTGTGAACAGCCAGCTTCTTTGGCAATGAATGTTTGTGGCTTACCCTCCTTGTGAAGGGTGTCAATGATTGTCTTCTGGACAACTGTCAGATCAGCAGTCTTCCCCATGATTGTGTAGCCTAGTGAACCAAAATGTGTGTGTGTGTGTGTGTGTGTGTGTAATGTTTTCTGTTGCTCTTCAGATGTGTACCTAAAATTGTATTTAAAAGTACTTTTATGGTGGCTAGAAAAATACAGAGGCAATAATACACACTGGATATTTTTTAGTCATCAAGAAGTTTTAAAACCCCTGGTTTATACAACTTGTACACTATATTCCAAATCTTCTAAAGGTGTATGGTAGATTTGTGTGAGGAAAAGACTAAAATGTCCCTTTTTCCTTCTCAATTAGAACTTTCAAATCTAATTTACAAAAAAATATATATTAGATCACAACAGGTTTGACTATACTAATGCCAAATGCCATTGGTTCTGGCATGTCATGTGATCAACTGACATAGAAAACATAGCCAAAAATTAGATTAGAGAGCTACAGGGAAGACTATCAGTGAAAAACTTCATACATTTAAAATATTCTGAAACCATAAGATACATTTATGTGAAGTATAGAGCAACATTTATTACATTGTTATTTTTAAGATTGATTTATTTATTTTTGCAGCTCAATAGTATAAATCACCATCCTCTTTCCTTGTATGAATTTCCCTTGAATTTGCCTAATGTTGCTCCTTGTAATTATTTGCTTGTGTTTGAATTGCTTTGGATGAACATGTCTGCTTATAGAACAAATTCACATAGAATATTGCATTTAATGAGTATGTTTGGCCTCAACGCAGATGATGGCGAACAGGGTGGAGAGAGCTCATCCTCGTCCGACCCACCTAAGGAAACCACAGAGGGGGCAAAGACAGAGGGCTCATAACTCGACACCAATGCCGCAGTGATCTGACCTCATGAGAGACTCACACATGACCTGCCTCTACTCTTTTCCCATTGACCAAACAACTGTTACACTCTGTGCAATGCAACATCAAGACCACCTATGATTGGCATTCGGATGTGGGCCAGCGGAAAACAGCTCAATCCTTTTATAGGAATTCATCTGAAATTGGGTTTTTCAAATATCAACGTTTGTTAATTTCATACCGTGATGACTTTGTCAAATCTGACTTTTTCCCCTAAAGACTCACTGTCATGATTTTCCTAACGACCGGCTGTTTTGTGTGTCTTATGAAAACAGATGTGTCCTGCTTTCTCATTTTAAAAAGGGACATTTTGTTTAATTTTAAGACTTTCCATAATAGCATTCTTCTCTTAATGTTGACATTTAGTGGCAAAAATTTCTCTTTTTGCACAAAAAAGTAAATACATTCCGTTTGGTGATGTAAGTAAAGTTTTTTTATCTTACGATATTTGTGTGTCCTTGTACAACATCACATCATCTGTGTTTTGTATTGTAAAGATATGCATTGTTAATATTCGACCCAGAAGATAAGAAACGGTGCTGAATAACATGAAATATGATATTTTCTTCTTGTAAATACAGAATTGTACATTATATTTGCTAGTTTTGTTTAAAAGCCTTTTGTTTTGTGCGTAACTGCTGTCAGTGCTGCCCTGCGTGAGCTCAAATTGGATTGTTAGCTGATGCATTGCTGCAAACATCAGTGTCATTCGGACGTCATCTTAAGTGCTTGTCTCAGATATTTCTTTGCTGTTGTTGATGGCAACGAAAAAATATGATTGTGGAGACTTGTTGTTCTTCCTCTCTTTCATCGTTTCCTCATGCTTCCATCAGAGAATTACGTTTTATTTTAGTTTAGTTAAATTTTTTACCTGGCCATTAATCTTGTAATTTTGTCTGTGGTTATAGCTACATATAAAATGCCATTGAGCTATGTTTAAAAATTACAATAAATCCTGTGCTTAGTTTTGGTAGTTTACATTTTTGGACTGTGGACCAGTGGTGGTAATTTATGTAACCAGCAGAGGACACTAAAGGTATCTTTTATAATATGAGGGTACAAAAAATGTCACCATCTTGTAGTAGATTAATTTGTCATATATATAATTATCAGTATTAATGCAGTTCATTATTTCTGATCTTTTTTTTCCATTTATTATTACTGTAATTACAGACAGATCCCAAGGGTATTAAAACCCTGGTTTTAGTAAACAATGCATGATTTCAATGCATATGATTGTTTCTAAGGTGTTGGGTTTGCAACAAGACAAGTTGGAAATGTGACTAAACCGACCCTCATCATCTCGAATGAGGGAGACAAAGTGGTCCAAAAAACACAGAGTACTTTCAAGAACACCGAGATCTCATTCAAACTGGGCGAGGAGTTTGATGAGACCACCGTAGATGACCGACACTGTAAAGTATGTTTAGAAGAAAAATATGTTTCATAACATGATTTAACCACTGGGAACAATACATTCCCATTTCAGAGCAGATGTGTTCTGTCTGAAGCTTTCTGTCTGAGATGAATGCATAGTGATGTGTTCTTTTTACCAGTCCACTGTGGTACTAGATGGAGACCAGTTTGTTCATGTGCAGAAGTGGGATGGAAAAGAGACCACCTTTGTCCGGGAGATCAAGGACGGGAAGATGGTGATGGTAAGGCTCTTTACAGTACAGTATATTTTGAAGACTGTCCTTGTGAGGACATCTTAGACAATACACTCAACTTATTATATTCATAAAGTGTATTTAATTACTTGCTGATTTCAATTTTATTTTAGAAACTCACCTTTGGGGACGTGGTGGCTGTGCGTACCTATGAAAAAGCATAAGTTTTGGGAATATTATGAGGATTTGTCCTTCTCCTTCACCAGGCAGCAACAGATACGATGTGCTTTGATGCTTTACGGAATGAAAAATATATATATATTAAAGCATGGACTACAAATATTTTTGATCCATTTTTAAAAAAATACTTTTGAGTCAGTAGGCCTACGATTCATTTGAAATAAAGAACCAGACAAAAAAAAAAAAAAAAACGTTGCATTAATTCCTCCAAATATATTAAAGCATGGACTACAAATATTTTTGATCCATTTTTTAAAAAATACTTTTGAGTCAGTAGGCCTACGATTCATTTGAAATAAAGAACCAGACAAAAAGGTTGGCTTGTGTGTTCATTTATGAATGTACATGTGTTGACAAAGTGAACTAAGTATTAAATATCAGGTTGAGGAAAAGTTTTGTAATTTCACAATTTATTAATTTAAATTTCTGACATTTCACATTTACATTTATACGACATAAATGTAAAATATATATTGTATAGTGTGTAGGCGATGACATTATGACAAGCTTTTGATTGTTTTGATTTTGATGTCCAATCAGTGCGCGTGTCAGCAGAAGGTTGCGCACCTGCAGAGCGCACGTAAGTGTTTCAGAGTCTGATCAGCTGTTACAGGCTCTTCATGTCTCCTGAAGTTGGCTTTAAGTTGATTTAACAGATTCCTTTTCCTTTCTCCTACTGTACAGAGTCAGATTCTTAGACATTTACAGTGATCCATCTTAAGGGCCTGTTGTTTTAGTTGACCTGGTTTGCAGTATATGCTCTGTTTGAGACTTTTATTGGTTCAAAAAACAATGGAATATTAATCTCTTAACATCAAGGTGCATGTATTGAGAGATTGTAATATACAGTCAAACTAAAAATGATTCAGATAGCAGATATAATTTTTGATATTTTTTTACTAGTGGGTGCAGGACACTATAGTTCATTTATGTAAGCGAGGATAGCAAAATAAAGTAAACTGTGACATATTATACCCCAAAATTCTTCATACAGTGGACTACCAGTAAAATTTATTAAAAAAATCGGGACCAAATATTATTCAGACACTTTGACCTGACCAAGTGTTATCTGACATTATCAAGCTGAATTTGTTCTGACACAGTTTAACTCGGAGTTCTTGCCATATTTTATTACCATTTTCTAAACTAGAGCAAATAAACTGTGATAATGTGAGAAATGTTGAAGGTGTCTGAATAAATTTTGGTTTGCCTGTATTTGAATATGAACATGTACGATGATGATGATTCTGCTGCATCATCCGATATATTATTGGGGGAAATAATTGTAAACATCTCGTAATATAGTTGTATATCTCAGACCTGCACTTGGATCCAACCTACCATGTCACAGAAGACCACACCAAAGTCTTCCTTGGATCCACAGCACTAAACAAAAATGATATATAACGTAAAGGTCAATAAAGTGTCCTCAATATACTGTAAAATCTAACATTCTAACAGTGCAAAATTACTCTTATACTCTAAATCAGGTTAATCTTCTCCAGTTGAATGAAGTATAATGACAAATATAACCCTATTACTTAATTTACATTAAGAAGAGCATATAGGCATTTAACAAATGTGCAACTGTGCTGAAATGAGATTTAGTGAAATTAGATTTTCTGTGCTCAAGAAAAAAAATGAAAGATTATTTTCAGAATTTCACAACTTCAGAATTTTTCACAATTGCGTAGCACATCCTCGTGCTTTCTGGCAATGTGCCGCTTCAGATTCCAATATGAATCTTTACTAACTCTCCCTGCACTCCCTCTCAGTTTCTTCTCCCTGCTCATTCTTAACTTCGATTTTTTTTACTTTACATTTATGTATAAGGCTTGCAACTTCGTTGAAACAATATCTGAACTCCATAACTGCTGTACTATTCTCACTCTCTACAGATTCTCGATCTCGAACAAGCAAATCACCAAACGGCATTCTGGGTTGAGTGAGCGGCGCTGAGCGTTTTGAGGGAGCGGAGCGGAATCTTCAGAAAGGCGCTCTGCGCTCTTAAGGAAATATTACCACTCCGCTCCCCGCTCCGCTCTCACTCCGCTCCGCTCACATGCTCTGTTTGGATCCAACCTACCATGTCACAGAAGACCACACCAAAATCTGTTTTTCCTTCAAGGGCATTCCTGCATTGGGCCCAGGAGTGTTTGGTGATTTCCTGTGTGATTCCCCATACCAGCTTATTCTCTCAGCATTCAGTTACATGAAACAAGCAGACCTGCAGCCTGAGTTCATTATATGGACAGGGTATAAAGGAATTTCATTTACTGATTGCAGCTGTTTTGTGATTTTACTTGGGTTATTAAATTTAGATTAATCTGGAAGATAATTTAATGTCGGAGCTAATGAACACTTCATGTTTTTTTTTCTTTTATGTTTTTATAAATTTTCTTAAAGTTCTTTGCACCTCACTGCAGAGACAGCCCTCCACACGTCCCGAAAGAAGAACTGTCTACTGATGTGGTGATCAATGTTATTGCCAATATGACTCGCACCATACTGCAGTTCTTCCCACAGCTGCCAGTTTATCCTGCCCTGGGCAACCACGACTACTGGCCACAGGTATTTCAATCCCAAGGGCAACAAGAGTTCTTAGCTGGGAATTCAATCCAAGTCAAATAAAGTGCACACGGTTTAGGTTTAGGTTGTTTGAATGGAATATTTGCATACTGTTGTATACACTGAAAATGACTTACAACTTATTTTTTAAAACACAAATATTTGATATAAATATTTAGTTGTATAAATAGTATATTTATATTTCATTACTGTATTTCTATTTTATAAAATAGAAATGCACAAAAACAATTATGCAATGAAAAATAGTTCAAACATAAGTGGCTCCATTTATTTGATCAAAAATGCAGTAAAAAACGGTAATATTTTGAAACATTTTTGAATATTTCAATAATATTTTTTAACAATGATATTAATATTTTGAAACCATATAAAATTTGAACATATTAAAAAAATTATATATATAATTTAAAATATTTTTAAATTATTTATGTGATGCATGATACAGCTCAAGAAGATTTTTTTATAAATCAGTGTTGAGTATTCCGAAAATTCTAAATATTTTATGCTGTGTTTTAATTTATTTGTGTTTTAATTTATTATTATTATTATTATTATTATTATTATGTTAATCTCATTTTAAAACTTTTTAGGATCAGTTGCCAACATCTACAAATGCGATTTACGATGCTGTAGCCAAACTCTGGTCTCCGTGGTTGAATCCAGAAGCTGTAGCTACTTTGCAAAAAGGTAACTGCTTATAAAGAAGACATTCTACTACATATGTGAAAATGTATATTTAAATTATTTGATTATTTGGAGATAATAAATGCTGCTTGGTCAGTACAGGTTTTAGCCTTATTAAAATACTTTGATGCAAACAACAGTATGATGCAACAGATTTAAATTGATATAAAATGTTATATAAATTTAAATCCAAAGCCTGTCAAATAAATGTATATGTATATTTATAGCCTATAAATTTTTTCCACAATTATTTCATTTATTTATTTAATAATTTAGTAACTTTTTTTCTCTATGTAACTGTGGTGCACACACTTACCAGTGGACTTTAGTTGCAACAGTGTATTGAGCTATTGCTCTTTGTACATCACTTGTTTGTGTGAAGGTGGCTTTTACTCTCTTGTGATCAAACCTGGCCTCCGTCTGGTGAGTCTCAACACAAACCTGTACTACAGTCCAAATCAAGTGACTGTAAATATGACTGACCCTGCTGGGCAGTTCCAGTGGCTGCAGGAAACACTTGAGCTGTCAAGACAAAAGCTGGAGAAGGTGAGTATATTCTGTCTGATTTTACAAGGCATTTTAATTTTAGAAAGAACCCGCTGCACTGATCATATGGGGCCATTTTATTACAAGACTGTAAATTAACAGTTGCATAGTGGTATGTCCATGTAAGTGACAGCAGTGGTCTGTGAGTGACTGCTGACCGTAATTTCATCTGTTCCTCTGAGGTCTATGTAATTGCTCACGTTCCCATCGGTTACCTACCCTATGCTATAAATACAACAGCCGTCCGAGAAAGCTACAATGAGCAACTGGTCAAAATATTTCGGAACTACAGTGACGTTCAGGGTCAGTTCTACGGTCACACTCATCGAGACAGCATAATGGTTCTGTTGGATCACCAAGGTAACTAAATTCACCTCAGTACATTAAAAATCAGAAAGAATCCAAATCCAAATCCAAATCCAAAAAAAACAAACCTTTTTAATATTGTAAAAAAATCATTTTAAAAATATCGGAATATGTTTTACAGGAAAATACAATTTCTGTTTTTGTGCTTCTAAAGTTTACATTTAATTCAATGTGTTACTTGTTGTTTCTTTGTTATTGTTTGTGAAATTTACTTGCAATTTCAAAGTTTCCACACCAATTTGTAGCACCAATTTACTTTTTATTTTATTTTTTATTTCAGTTTTTTCAATAAATGCATTTTTTTTTTAAATGCAGTGACAAACATTTGAAACATTGTTTTCTCATGACTTCATTAGTGAGTGGCATCCAGTTTATTTGTTATTTTGCAGTTTAAATTACATTGTAAAAATTTCTGAACTTTGGGCAGTTTGATCGAAACATGAGTCAAGAAAAATATGCGACCCTGGAGCACAAAACCAGTCTTAAGTCGCTGGGATATATTTGTAGCAATAGCCAAAAATACATTGTATGGGTCAAAATTATTGATTTTTCTTTTATGCCAAAAATCATTAGGATATTAAGTAAAGATCATGTTCCATGAAGATATTTAGTAAATTTCCTACTGTAAGTATATTATAGTTATAAGTATATTTTTGATTAGTAATATGCATGGCTAAGAACTTCATTTGGACAACTTTAAAGGCGATTTTCTCAATATTTAGATTTTTTTGCACCCTCAGATTCCACATTTTCAAATAGTTGTATCTCGGCCAAATATTGTTCTATCCTAACAAACCATACATCAATGGAAAGTTTATTTATTCAGCTTTCATATGTCATATAAATCTCAATTTTGAAAAATTGACCCTTATGACTGGTTTTGTGATCCAGGGTCACATATGGGAAAAAATCATTACTGATATATCTCTAGTTCATTTATGAAAATGGAAGCGATGAATGCAATTTTTGAATCTGCTTTCTCTGAGGTACAGTATAGTGCTCAGTTTGGCAATTGTAGTAAGTGATCCAGATAGACCATGGGAACATATCATTGAACATACTGATTTATGTACCATTTATGCATTTATTCAAGGGAAACCTGTGAACTCTATATTTGTCACACCTGCTGTTACACCTATCAAAAGTCTACTGGAGCCATTTTCGAACAATCCTGGCATCCGTGCATATCTGTACCACCCTGAGAATTATGCTTTACTGGTAAGTGTCCACCAACAAGCAAGTTCAGGCACTGATTTATTTACTTTTAGCACATGCTTCTTACAATTATTAGTGCCTTGTGTCTTTTAATTCTGATATTTTGAGTTGTTTGAAGCTAAATGTTTGGCTTAATTCTAATAAATGATTGTGTGTGTGTGTGTGGAAGGTCATTACTTCACCACTACTATGTCTCTTGCTAGAGCAATTCCTGTTTCTGAATGATTAATGGTAGTGTCAGTTCTAATTACATGGTGTGTTTTAATCAAGGTGCCAGCTCAAAGTGTGGCTGTTCTATTGCATCCCTTTTAATAATCTCTCTCTCTCTCTTTTTTCCTCCAAAGGATATTTGGCAGGTCTATTTAAATCTCACAGAAGAAACCTGGAACAAAGGTCAAAGTGGAAGCTGGAATACATTATGACTGAGACTTTTGATATTGATGACATTCAGCCTCACAGCTTGCATGAACTTGCTCTTAGGGGTCGAGCAGCCACAGAGTAAAGTCTTTGACAAGTATTTTAACAATTTTATGGTGAGCTACAACTTAAACCGCACATGTGAGGGTTCATGCAAAACGATTCAGGTAACCGTGTTCTTCAGAGTTCCCCATAGAGACTCGTCTGTAACAGGGACGGGTCAATATTTGCCCTGCCACTCTGGCGGCACTGAAGGAGGGATGGCTTTTTTTAAAGCGTGGGCCACACAAGGCTGTGCTGAGGTGGGCCGGAGTTTGACAGCCACATACATTTCAGAGAGCTTTGTCTCCCTACTTGGACTGGTGAGCAGAAGACATTGTCCTGGTTTTATTTTATTTTATAAAATGAAATGAAAAATATGGTAATGCGACAGCCTCTATTTAAAATGATGGGTTCAGTTCTGTCCACTATTTTGTTTTGTTTTGGGAATGGGACAGCCTGTATTTCAAATGCTGTGTTCAGTTCTGTCCACCATTTCATTTCATTTCATTTTACGGTAATGTTTTGACAGCCTGGTGATTATTTTAAATGCTGGGTTCAGTTCTGTCCACTTTTTTGCTTTTATTTTATTTTAGTTTAGTTTAGTTTAGATTAGTAGTGGGGTTGATGCATAGTCAGGGGAGTATCTCAAATGCTGGGTCAGTTCTGTTTATTTTATTATTTTTTATTTTATTTCCAGACATTTTGTAGTATGACCCTTATTTTACTTTAAAATCTAGCAAAAAATAGCGGTTTCGTGAATTGTCCCAGAATGCATTGTTTACTACAAATCTCCTTTTACCGCCAAATGTCCTTTGCTGTAAACATATGAGACCCAAGGGCCTAATCATAACAGATTACTCACTGGCCGATTAGCTAGTTATTGCTGTCACATATATTCAGCTCGGCTGGCAGCCCTGCGTCTACTTTAGAAGTTAAAGAGCTGTAACAGGGAAGGTCAATGCTAGAGACGGCATAGGTCAACCCGGCACTGATTACAGGGCCTCATTATGCTTGGGCAAGCCCTCATCAGAGCCTGTTCAGTCTTCAAACTATTGCTTTGATGGGCCTTATTTACCTACTGCACTATTTAAGCTGTGGATTACTGTGGTGATTGTGTAACCATGGCAGCCCCCAGGGAATTGGAATTCATGGAATATGCTGGTTAATTTTATGAGCTGAGGCAGGGATTACATACCAGTTGATTAAATTCAGTTCAGAAATCATTACAAAGATCTTGACCTGTTTTCATGTAGCTTAGTTCAAAATCAAATGTGTTTTCTTCAATTCGTATAGATATTTAAGTTTCAGAATTTTTAAGAAAGCAGTGTTTATTTACATGCTAGTCCCAGTGCTGAAGTGATGATACATTTTTATAGACCAACCACGAAGTTCACATCCCCCTGGTTCACTTGACAAAACCCAATTTTTCTATTGGCTTTTGGATTATTGCAGAAAATAAGCTCTTGTGACCAACAAAAGATTATAATTCTAACGATGTGTGATTCTAACGAATTCACACTTACTCAACGTTTATGAATTCTGAAGCTTAAAAACAATAACCAGAAGTAAAAAGCTAGCCGTAGGCTATAAACGAACTATGCCATAGACGTCTTTATTTAAAAAAAAAAAACATTTTCCCTGAAAGTTTGAGTTAGAATAGTTTGCAAGAGTGTGCTTATGAACAAAATGATGATGTTAATGTCCCTGACAACCTCTGTAGTCCCATTTAGCCACTTGTTAACCTCCTTGCAAAAGGCAAGTAAAAACATAAAAAAAGGGGAAAAAAATTTCAATGGGTTACTGCAGTGGTTCCCAACCCTGGTCCTGGAGGCACCCCAACACTGCACATTTTGCATGTCTCCTTTCTCTGACACACCAGTTTCAGCTCTTGGAGTCTCTCCTAATGAGCTGATGATCTGAATCAGGTGTGTTTGATTAAGGAGACATGCAAAACATGCAGTGTTGGGGTGCCTCCAGGACCAGGGTTGGGAACCACTGGGTTACTGCAAACCTTATTTCAGGCATTTATCCAAAAACCCACTCAGAAAACTCATGATGGAACCAGAAGTGCTAAAATGTTATCAGGTTTTAGCCTATGAAAATATGTCATCCCTGCAGCACTCTATTTACATTTATTCAATGTGCTCAAAAGGTTTGCTACATCTCCGTTTGCATACTTACGCTATATTCTGAAATTGCTCAAACAGTTGATCATTGCACTAGCAACACCACTGTCATGGGTTTGTGTCCCAGCGAATGCATGAACTGATAAAAATGTATAACTTGCAATTACTTAGCCTATAGTTACATTTGAGTGTAAGGTAAGTAATAGGCTAATTCAAATGTATTAGCTTTTATTTAAAAAATGCTGTGGCAACCTTGCATTTCTCAGAACTGTTTTTCAATTGAAAATCAAATGAGAACTCTATCAGTATCTCCTTATCTTCTGTTTCGGGAGTGACATGAGAGACATGAGAACAATCATACAGGCAATACTACATTTTTATATACAGTATATATATATAATATTATATATATATATATATATATATTAGTATTATCGGGCACCTTTGGCTTACTGTTTTAGTGTGCTATAATTTGTAGTTTTTGTCTTGCATACTGTTATATGGATATTATAGAATATAGATAGAACGTGAATTGAGACGCAGCACAAGTGTGAAATCAGCATAGCATTGGGAAGAAACTGGTTCACTGCATTCCTGCAAGTGACCAGTGTGTTCCCAGAAACTCACATGTAACATTTTACACATCCTCTTTTGTAGCTAAATATATTCATGTTCAAGTTTGGAATATTTGTCAAGTCTGAAGTTATGATCTCAATATTTTATTTCCAGCAAAGTTCTCCCATGAGTGATTTACAAATGCTACAAATTGAAGTCCTTCACTTACACTTTGCTATTAGTTTTACACTTCTTTTTTATCAAACCAACTTATAAATGTGCATATTTTGTTTTATTATTCATGCAGTCCACACTGTAATATGATGTAAAGTTTCTATATTTAAAATAGTTGTCTTATTGACTATTTTGCTTAGTGGATCATTGCATACAGGAATGTGAAAGCTCTTGGCAACCTACATTTACAGTACATTTCATTGAACATATAATGTGAAACTCTGATTGCAGGTTGCAGTTGGGATCTATACTATTCTTATTTTATCATGCATCAGTAAATTCTGCAAAAACATCTTAAAAACATTTGAACACATATGTCGAAGAACACAAGGACAGATGGCTTGTGTTAATAAATAAAGACTACAGCAAGACTTTCAATAGACGAAGAGCTCAAGGGAACTAGCTGAGTCTCTGTCCTGTTTAATCTCATGATGCTGCTAAAATCAGATTGGTTAGCCAAAAGGAATGAGAAAAAATGATATAATAATGAAGGTTTAATCATCATCTAACACCAGACTTTTCTTTTTCCAGTTTTGCCACTGACAATGGCATTTGCCATTGCCAATTTATTAGAGGGCACTCAACAGTAAATAAAGTAAGTGATGACAAAGGTTTTGATTTTGCACAAACAGTAAATTGTGGCATGAAAATGTGACTTTTTGTGTGTGCACACTCAGCACTGAATGTCGTGATCCACTTCCTCTCTCCTTTTGTGAGCTCTTTTGTCAGGCACAATGCAGAAGTTTGCATTCAGAGTCACATTGAAATGGCTGTTAAAACCACAAACATGAGTCCTGGGAAAAGTTACTTTCTGTTTGAAAACTGAGGAACAGCGAATGCACTGTAGCTTCCGTTTGTGGCATTCATTGTCTTGCTAACTTGACCCTGTGCTTATAAAGGCTCAGTAGGAACAGTACTGTTCAATGGTCCGGCCCTTATAGCCGCAGTCTCATGGCTTTCAAGAGCAACTGAGTGTTTGAACTTAAGAATGCTTTGCTTGCTGGATCAGGAATAACTGGCACTTGTTATATTGTTATATATGTGTTATATCTTGAGTCATACTATGTTTTAATTATGTTTAGACATTGAATGATGAGCTTATGAGAATTTGACATTTGGCACTACATGAATATAGGTAATGGTTTGTGCCATTAATAATATAAATATATTATGGAAGTCTATTTTCACCAAAGAATAATAATAAAAAAAATTTATAATGGTAATTGTGATTTTTTTTATCTCACAATTTTATCTCGCAGTTCGGAGAGAAAAAAGTCAGAATTGTGAGCTATAAACTTTTTTATATAAGACTTTTTGGTTACACTTTACTTGAAGGGGTGTGCATAAGACTGACATGACACCTTCATAATCATGACATGACACATACATAATCATGACATGACACATGTCATGAATATGAAGGTTTTTTATGCATGTTTATGACAACTCTCATTAAGTGTGAATATGAAGGTTTTTTATGTTTTAATGCAAAGATGACATTGTTTGAGATGTCTTTGTTATGGGCTATGGTTAGGGGTAAGGGTAGGGGTAGGGTTAGGTCAAATAATGTCATATTTGCATTAAAAATGACATACCTGAGCGAATGACACTTAATGACAGTTGTCATAAACATGCATAAAACCTCTTTCATATTCATGACATGTGTCATGTCATGATTATGTATGTGTCATGTCATGATTATGAAGGTGTCATGTCAGTCTTATGCACACCCCTTCAAGTAAAGTGTTACCGACTTTTTTTTCTCACAATTATTATTATTATTTATTATTATTATTTACTTTATCCCTCATAAGGGAAATTTGTTTTGGGCAATACAGATAGACCACGTAACAAGATTCCTGCATTTGTAAGCAATCATGTCCTTATATTTTTCACATTTGAGTTTAAGTTTAACAATACTGTCGCCAAAGGAACAAAATAATTCTTATAGCATTTGTATCTGAACCTCTGAGTGCGAAATTTCAAATTTACATCTTACAATTCTGTTTTTTTTTTTTCTCGATTCTGTTAAGAAACGGTCTGAATCG